TAGCGCAAATAAGAGACCACAATTTCAAAACGACATCGAATCAGCACATTACACACTGTAATTTCTGTTCTATTACAGTATCGCCCGACCCCAATGCAGAATCCACTATGGGAATTACACCATTTGTACGGTATCCTCTACTGCAGTGGAATTTTAGCATATTAAATTTAGTGCAGCTACGAAACGGCTCCAATAAAATTAATTCGACGTGATCAATTTTTGAAGAGGTCTCGTGAATTTTGTTGCGTATTGTATATGTTTTCGTAAAATGGTTTTAGACCCGTTTATGTTTTACTGCGGTACAAGATTTCCTTCTAATAATATAATAATATGTAAAAGGTACGATTCGAGCTACTGTGCGACTACGAACCAGTTCTACCGAATCATTTCAATTCTAATATCTGCAACTTCAGTAATAACCAGTAATGAGTGGTAGAGGGATGCGACTCAGTAAATGAACTAAATTTTCGGTTCTTCCGTAACCGCGCCTGTCTGGCGAATAGGTTGAACGCGGCTGACCAAGGCAGCCCGCGTATATAATAAAGAATATAAACTACAACAGAACTAAAATTACGGTACAGTTGTAATCGTAAGTGTAAACGGAGACAAGAAACTGCAAACACACATCATCCACTGTTTTACGATCTGGGGAATGTGACAAGGTTTCAGGCGCAGTACTTATGCAAACAAATGACTGCAAAAATACACCGCTAAATGTACACACGGGCAGGCCAACGCGTAACGGTAACAGCGAAACCGACAAAGCAAATTTCAAAATTTATGTTCAGTAAACGAATATTGACTAGAGTAGTTCCCATCCTATAAACAACAAATAATATGATTTTACTGAGGTATTGCTGTAGTGCTGGAGTCATTTAACGACTGATAAACACCAAGCCTTCGCATCCTACAAACTGCTAGCTACAGAATGTACCTTACACTCATCGTTTAACTTTATCATCATTAAAATTTTGTAATGACTGCCAAAATAAACTATAGGCGAACGTTATTGCCACTATCTACAGTTCAGTGAGTTCACAACGAAACAGTGTTGTCACTACAGTCCACGTCGTAATTTGGCTAATGGCACTTCAAAACTGCAATCTGACTCTTTTTGTGAAAAACTTTACTATGCTAATGGCACTAAAAGTGACCAGTTGACTACGGTACATATCCACTACAATGTGCTAATGCTAGAGTACTACGTTACCATATTATTATGTAAACTATGTAACGAGTGTTCATGAACCGTCGCAGTACACTCAGCATATTATCAATTTAATTTGGGCTATCTACGGAAAAGCAGCCGAAGAACTAATGATAGCATTTGCTATGCGAACGTTTCCGTTGTAAAAATTACCTTAATCATATGTAGTATCGTTAGCGTTCCGTATCTGTAGTGCAACCGACTGTATGACTGCCATTTAAGGGAAGTGGGCCGGTACATGGTACCAAATTCGTGTACATGCACGAAAACTTGCACTTTCGCGCACTCCCAAACACATTTTTGTTTCGGTTTATGAAGTTTTGTAGCCAGAAGATTTGTATACACTGGCGTGAAAACAGTTTGTGCGCGCAACATCCGGTTCGGGAATTATGGCTGCTGCAAAATTTTCCAAAAAGTTTAAATGTTTAATCAGCTTGTTTAATCAGCTTAACGTCTACAACAATCAGGAATAGTTCCTGCACGAGGTTGTAGACAACCATTCAAGATCAGCTGTCACAGAAAGGACAGCCCTATGCACTACGCAGCAATTCTTCGAGTTATCCCTTACAATTACAAAACGGCGTACCAGTGTACATTCAACAGGTAAACATAAAAAAGCAAAAAATTTCACAGATAGACAACAAGTCAAATCAATACACCCATTCTCGCACGAAGACGTTGGAAGGCCAGATTTCAGGACGCAAGATTTTTTCGGCATCATCTTTGAATATTCCAATCCGAGCGAAAGTCGCAGTACGCTTGTCTCCGCGCGGAGGGACGAACACACTTACAAATCTCGTAGCGATCCCTTCGCTGTTCAGCTGGTTGGCGATAAAATCGTTGTATTCCTTAACACTTGAAAATTTTGAGTTCTCGAGGCGAGGAATACCTCTCACACAGAAATCGGAGTGGGGTTTTCGCTTACATTGCAGGGTCTTACCCAGTTCACTGCGAGGTTCCTCATTTGTACCGCTCAAGTTCTGACTTCCTCGAATGGTTTTGGGTATTCGTTTCGCAGCTACAACACTTGCATAAGAAGAAGGGGTTGACGTACGGCGCCCGGGTGGAATGGTGCGTGGGGTTTCAGCCGACGCGGATGTGGGTAGTTTTGTTGCACCAAGTTACCACGACTCTTCTTGGCTTCCACAGCGTACCGTTTTCATGCAGTTTCTTTCTTTTTTCGCTGACTATGTCCCAGTCTCCAGGTGCATATCCAAAGTTTTCATCAACTGTATGCTCCACAACAGGATCCAGTTTTACATTGTCAACAACATACCCGCATCCCGACAACAAGACCTCACCACCAGTGCAGAGGCCGCATTCCATAACGTAGACCCGTTCACACAGCTCTTCCATTCCATTATTAAAATCAACAATATTCTGAGGCGACATTAGGTTATTCATAGGAGACTCATCTGCTGGACTTGGCAGCGTTGCCAACGGAGCGACTTTCAGCTGGTTCTTCATGGCCACATTTTCGGCAGTCAGCTCATCGATTTTCGACTCCAAACGCTTAACATGGTTTACGAATTTCTTTAACTCGGGTATAAACTTTTCCCAGTTAACTTTTGAGCCAGAAAAGTCAAAAGAGAAGTCGCAATCACTCATGTTTCCAAAATATTTCAAAAATATTCAAAATATTCGAATATTCGAAAGTATCTGTATTCGGAAGTATCTGTACTTCAATATCCCATATCTGAGACCTGCTCTGTACATGACCCCAGGTCTTGTAAATGCGTTCAGGTGTACTAAAAGTCTCATTGTAGACCGATCTCTCTCAAATTTTGCACGTAAATGCGCATGTCCATGAAGATCGTTTTTACACCGATCCAGACTTCCATGATTTTTTTCAAATTTTAAAATGAATTTTAAAATTTTTGAAATTCATTTTAAAATTTGAAAAACATGCTAGAACAGCGGATCGGTGTACAAACGTTCTTCGTGGTTATGTGCATTTACGTGCAAAATTTGAAGGAGATCGGTCCATAATGAGACTTTTGGTACACCTGAACGCATTTAAACTTTTTTGAATTTTCTAACAGCCATAACTTCCGAACCGGATGTTGCGCGCACAAACGGTTTTCACGCCAGTGAATACAAATCTTCTGGCTACAGAACGTCAGAAACCGAAGCAAAAAATGTGTCTGGAAGTGCGCGAAAGCGAAAGTTTGTGAGCATGTACACGAATTCGGTACCATGTACCGGCCCGCTTCCCTTAAGCGAACTGTAGTGCATATGAATAAAAGGTCAAATGACCTTTTGTAATGCCATTAACCAGATAGTGATGTGGACTGTAGTGACAATAATGATTTGTTGTGTGAACTGTAGTGGCCTAAGCCCAAACCTATAATTATAAATTCGAAAGTAAAAAATTAAGTTAGGAAAATTAGGAAAACAAGATAGTGAAGATACCGTATGCCTTCAGCATCCACACTTGTAAAGACGGAAGAGCAAAAGTAACTGTAACTTGTAAGTAGTCGATATATCATCCTTTTAGGTATTATTATTTCCGAAATTTAAATTAAGGAATTTCATACATTTCAATTAACGGAAATCACAAAACAAACGACGAAAGTAAATAAAGAATGAATATACACTGTTGTCACAAACTGCAAACGCAGTTAACAATAATATTTCCTTGCTTAGTTCTTAAAACGAAAAAGAAAAATCTGGGAAAATTGCGATACTTTTACATGTTAGTATGCATTAATCTTACCTAACACCAGAGAGATCACGAGGAACAACACTTGGGAGGCCATCCTATGGACAAAGAAACGGGAGCTTGATCAAGTGCACGGTGGAATTCGCACAAAGTCTGCAGAAGCTGGCTATTAGTTACTGTGTGTGACGATAAAAACGGTTGACAACGTGATGAGCACGAATGGAAACCCTCGCTTCATATCGCAAAAATTAAAAACTCTATGCACTGTGAAACAATGTTAATGCATCGCCGAAGACGATCTTCCCATTTTCGACAAGCGCCCAGTCTGTTAGCGACAGAGATCAGCTCACTCAGTGCATTCAGGCCAGAGAGCGAGATTAGCGCCCCACCCTGCCAGAATGACTGGTAAGCGTGATACCAGCTAAGCAATACGCATTTCCCTCGAAATCCAATGAGGCAACGCCGCTTCCGTACTCGGTAAAATGGAAGGAGCGGCAGCGTTACGAATGAGCATGTTTATCTGCATTATCGCTCAATAACTTGTACTTCTAAAACGCGGTTGTGCACTGTACGCATTAGGATATGATTGTTTATTTCGGCGACTTGATTGCACTTATTCCGGTTGATGTTTTCTTTTAGCGATTTTTGTATGGATTTTATTATAAAATGAAGAGAGATATGTAAGGCGTCCTGGAATTGGCCGCTACACGTCGTTTTATTGCTTCTGCCAGCAAAGTCTTTCGTGAACAAGGTCCATCTAGAACGGGCTTTCGTATGCAAGGTACGGTCGAATGCAATTCCTTTGTTTACGAAACGACCGAAGACTCAATAATGGTTAGATACAATAGATTCAAAACCGGAAGTTTGTGTTAATAACTTAATACCAAATCGAGTCTTCAACAGTTACACACTTTCTCCTCCTCAGACTCGTCGTCATTAGCAAAATTTACCGGCTGTTACAAGCAGCGAACACCTACTGCGGTTTAACAAGGGGCTTAGTTCCGACAATTACTGTACTTAGAATCAAAGAAATCCAGATCTATCCATTAGGCTCGCACGCTTTCATCAGCAAGATTTCACGTAATCGTTGCAATTTTTTTTGTTTAAATGGTGCTGAGATGCCTGATCACATAATGAAAAAAGACGGTTCAGAGTTACTTAATTAGCACGCACAGCATTCGGTTGGCAAGATGTGGCGAACTGAAAAGAGCCAGAAGTTTGCATGTCGTAAACATATCATATTTACCGAAGGGTAGGCGATAAGACCAAAGAAACACTTGCCCTATTAAGTATAAACTGAAACTGGAGTAAAGATATAACGATTATACTTAACTGTAATTAACAGGGTCGAACAAAAAATGTCCCAAAAAGTCGTATATGTGAATCAACACTTGACAAGACTACAGAATTTTACGCCTGCTCCTCTTTGGTCTCGTGGTTGCGAACTTCACTGCTGGGATGTTCAGCCTGTGCGTCGCCATTCGCGGATGCTGGGCACCAGTCCTTCCAGCAGTTCGCCAAGGCCCGCAGACAGAATCCGTTTAATTTGCCCACATCCACGTCGGCCACATTGTCCGCACTCCACTCGTATCCTCGATAATGTGCCGATGGCCGCGGATCGCAGGATTGGTAATCCCGGAGAATCTGCACGTTTATTCAGCAAATTAACCACAGTTCTAAACCTGAGCATCAGTCAAACGCTAATTTTTTAGCACTAATATATTTGCAAAAACAAAAATTTTTTTTACTATCTGGAACAGAGATCAAAATAGTGTTACCTAGACAGTAAAATGTTAGATTAGTGTAACTTGTGAAAAATAGGAAACTTCATACTGTTAGTTGTTTCAAAAAACAATTCAACACACTGCAGTTCTGTCTGCGTAGGTACTGTAATTTCGATTAATATGCACCTGCATTATTTTAACAGCCTTTGTTCCGCTGTCGATGTGACTGGCCATGCAATGGCCAATACGCTCCGCAGAGAGAGGCGGCTCGTCGCAGCGCAGATGCTGCTCCAGCAAATCCGCAATACGCGCAGCACTAACATATCCCCGGGTGAAGACGGCCGAAGGAATGCGGAACTCCATCAAGGTCACACGTCTCTTCTCCGCTAGTGCGAGGGAATAGTCCTTCCAAATCACGCGATCAGAACACGACACAAGCTGGGACAAGTGCAGGGCGGTTTCGGCGCAAAGAACGCCGATACTACACTGGTCATGCGGATCGGACGTTTGCATCCTGATCGATCGCTGGTGCACGATGCAACGCTCAATGCGCATGCCGGCGTCGTCCAGGACCTTCTTTAACAAGGCCCCCACTTCATCAGCAGCGCTCCGGTTCCAATGCTGCAGGTACGACGGTTCGGCATCGTGAATACAGAGAGTATGGGTGGTTGGCGTAATGTGCTTAAAGATGCAGCAGTACATGGCGTAATTGCAGTCCCACTGCTTGATCCGATCAAGTCGGGGCTGTTGCCGCGATACACGCAGAACCTGGCACAGTTCGGCCGAAGTGAGGAGGGTTTCCCACAGTTGGCAGGTGCGGCGGCAGCGCTGTTGATCCACGGTGTCCAGGCACCGCAAGACCTCTTTCAACACTTCCAACGGCAACGGCAAACCACGCTCCCCGAAAGTCAACGGCTTCTTCCGTTTCGGCTCCGACTCTTCGGTTCTCTCGTCTAGCTGATGGCAGTACGCATGGTTCTTTCTCCCCCTTTCAAACGACGCCGCCTACAGTAAAAGCAGGACTGACCTACTCGTAACTGTGTTACAATAAAAACTGAAAGCAGAACAGGGCTCACTTCAGTCGCGCAAAATAATATCGTTACGTAATGGACTTTTCTCTGTATGATTAATCTACTGTACTTACTCACTTAGACTTTGTATTTTACACTACTCACACCATTTCCTACCTTTCTGAGTCTTAGGTTGCGTTCAGGTTTGTTACTTTGTCGTATAACTAACAAAATCACTACTAGTCGGATGACCTTCGGCCCGAAAACCGCCGTAATATTTTGCTCTGCCTGAGTGTTTTCGTAACAATGTGGAAGTTGTTCTAAAAATAACCACAGCTCAGCTGCCGAAAAATAAAACTGTAATGCTTAATGGTAACATGGTTGGCGCATGGGTCTAACACGTGCACAGGGACTGCTACACCCAGAGCGCGTTTTGAATTAGTCACCACTTTAAATTGATTTTTCCTTTTATTCGTTTAAGCATTCAGGTCAAGTTTTCTGTCTGCGGGACCGACATTTGTGATTCATCGGCACTTCCCAAACCGACCAATTTGATATGTGAACAGTGTGAAGTATGGGATACGTACTGAATAATACTACTCGTACATTAATGTTTATTAATGTTTACTATAACTTATCAGCGAACCTACTAACTGCTCATGCAGCTGTACGTGACAACAGCGTATATTTGTATCTAAGCAAGTCAGGGCGTACAAGGTTATAATAATTATACGTACCCGCGACCGGCAAGGTCGCACACATATACCACATAATCCATGTCTGATTCATCGAAACAATCATTTTAAGATCATCTGCAGTGCTATCAGTGTTGAAGGTAACCATATTCTTCGGCACTTCGGAGCGGACTTCTAGTTTCCCCTCATATATTACGGGAAGTCAAGTGCCCTCCCGCACAGCTGCCGCTCACATGTTACTCCATTATGCGAGTATGTACAGTACGACAGCTGTGTCGGGGGAAATTTGATTTCCCGTAATTCCTGTAAGTAGTTTATTTTAACATAACCAACCATTAAAAGCCAAAGTGACATGTAATTTACTTAATAATTTCCCTAATTTACTTAGTTTACCGTGAGATCAGTTCAAGCACTAACATGCAAGATTTTGCAATTCACATAAAAAATCCGGGGGATAATCATTAAGCAGGTTGCGGTATCAACGAAGGGGTACGATTGACGATAGAATTAACGACGGAGTACAATTAACGAACGTTTAAACGGGCAGTACCCGTCGTTATTAACGAAACGAAGGGGGTATCGTTTCGTTAATAACGACGTTAAAATTCAGTAATGAACGACTGGGCCCACATAGACCATTGAGCACGAAGACTGCGTAGGCGAGACAGTGTACCCAGTGAATTTCTGCCTGGGCATTCAATCCTGAGTTGCCCACTCGACTCGAATTTTCGAAAATCACAACAGTACTGCTCGGATGTTAATTGTTAATGCTGCCAGTGGTCTCTTTAAACTTTTCACTTTTATGGGTTACTTTTTACTTTAACTTACACAATTGTAGAAATTACTCCATATAATAAAATACAATAATTCGAGTATTTTACTATTGGAGTAGCAGTGTACGGAGACTGTACTGAGGCATCTGACAAACGCAATAACAAGTCCTGCATTCAAGAATGGAATAAGTGGATAACACTGCTTTAGAATAGTGTTCATACACGTGTTAACCCACCAAAGTCAGCTACCAGAAGGAGTGCGAATATTAACTTGAAAATTGGCACTCCAGAACCAAATAATTCAATCAAGAAAAACTGATTTTTTGAGAATTTTTGTGACCATAGGTCAAGCAGGGCGATAGTCTGCCAAACTGACAGGGATGGGCATCCTACCATTTGGCAGGTAGCACGCCGAAATGTATAAATAGTTATGGGAGGGTAGCACTGGGACGGGCGAACGCTTTAACGAAAGGCCTCAAAAAGCTCTTCAATTCCCAGACAGTGTTGTGGTCATCGAGTTGACCAGTGGTCAGTATTAACAAAACTTGTTAAAAAACTGCACTTTTCGGCCGCCACGCGTTACAACAGATACAGTGTCCACGTTTTTCAATAAAAAACGATAGAAAACGATTTTCAGTTAGATAAAACAACATTCTTACAACTGCATTCTTACCACTCATACCAGTACAGTACTGGCAGTACATATGCGGTGTTTGCCGCTGATGTTCGCGTTATACTGTATGGTAACCAATCTTCGTTATTGCCGCTTACTGTTTTCAGCCGACGTTTGGTACCTTTTTAGTGAATAGAGGTTGTAGAGGGTACTCTACAAACGGTCTCAACCATCACTAAGCGGTTCATAAGGCAGTAACCACAGCGACACTACCCGCACCGCATCACCTACATCCTAGGGTAGAGTATACGGCGTATGCCGCACCGGCAATGAAAAACTGTTCCCGCATGGTCATTTCCGCTATTATCCGCTGTAGCTTGGTAACTCAATGACGCCTATTCGTAAGGGACAATTTGTACAAAGTGCTGTACAATTTTAAAAATGGCTGGGTGAAATACCTTCCATGAATCACGTTTACATCAGTTCAAATCTTATCATTTCTTCTAATCCTGGACTACTCTAGGCATAGTGCGTACTGCGTAGCATATTGGTTTCTCGAATATACCATAAATCTGAATTTTCAAACGGAAACGTTTTTTAGGTCCATAATTCGCGTTAGTTAATGCTGTTTGCATTTTATTCGTAAATTGTTTTTCAAATTCTCCGCCCAAAAAAAGCGTTTTTTGAAAATTTTCGAGCTTACTGACCACCGGTCATTTCGATGACCACCAAAATACCAACCTTTGTAACACTTTTTTTGCTCGAATTTTTGATTGCATGTGTGGCTTTCTACAAAGCCTTTGAGATTTTATATCGAATTTATAGTTTTATTGATAAAGCAGATCCACGCCCATCCCTGTCAAACGTGGCAGGAAATTTTAGAATGACCGTGCTTGTCCGCTGTCCAGTTATTTTTCTTGTATTCTAATGATTTTGCAATAAGGGCCGCTAGATTGGCTTGAATTATTTATTTTGGAATTATCTCATGCTGGGAGGCTGCAAGGGCAACGAAGACTTTCGCGAACCCAAAATTTCAGATTTTGGGCACCTTAGGTCACTTGGTGCATGCCCAGACCACTCTGTGTTGGACAGTCCGATTTTTAAAAACGACACCTAATATCTCTACTGTGAAATATAACTAAAGAATATGAGCTATGTGCGTTACGGGCTCTTGTAGAAAAAGAGTCCCCCACCCTGCCATTTGACAGGAATGGACGGGAACGGGTTAATGTATGTTTTTCTACCACAAAAAATATTTTTTCTGTTACTTTTACGGGCAACATGAAATCGTTTCGGTATCGATACAAAAAATTGAAAAATGACTGTCAAAACACAACAGTTCGCCACGGTAATATCTATCGCTGTTAATTGTTTAGTGCATAACGCAACCTCTTATGCGAATCACCGGAGCCTTAAATTAACAACGCCAAAACTGTCGTTAATTTTGCCTTTGATCGTCCGGCCGTGCAAAATGCAACCTACTTAATAACTTCCATGAAACCCACCCCAGCCTCTACACACCTGCCTCAGGATTCAGCGTCAAAGCATGACCGCTGCCCCTAAACAGAGCTCGGCTCCGTGCTACAACAAAAATCAGTTTTAGCTATTACTGCAGGCAGTAGAAATTTACGCCGAGTCGCCGACATAGCCTAAAATTGAACTCAAAAGGTCTTACAGCAAGAATTTTATTAATTTTCATGCAACCTGCCACATTTGGCGCCTCAGCCCTTCAAATAACAGTCTCTCACAACGCTTACCACATTTTCAGTGGAAAAAGGCGCTTCCTGACGGCGCCGCACATAATGCATCTCCTGGCTGAGAACCTTGACAAATCGGAGCGAGAACTCCCGCTCGACTTTCCGGAGGAGCATCGCCGATGCGGACTGCTCCAGAGCCCAGTAGCCGTTAGGCACACCCCACGTCTGCACGACGAAATGGCCTGCTGGAAGGGGGATTGGCTTGACGGCTTCGCTTGACACATCGCGAATCTGTTGGCGGGGAAGCAGCTCGCGACAAACCTGTCCGTCCCTTCTCAATTCCACCAGCGCCCCCCAGGGCAGAAGCTGGAACCCACGGATCAACATCTTCCCGGGATACCATTTCCAGGGGCGACCGGGACCGTCGTGCAACAGCACCTCCACGTCGTCTCCTTCGCGCGCGTTGCAGAATTTGCTGACGGAGCAGTCGAGGATTTTCCCATATGGAACCAGCACCGCCTGCTGTGAGGGGCACCCGAAATCGACAATGAGACGCGGTGGAGTGCTGTCGTTCTCTAACATGTCTTCCAGGCCGATGACATAGCCGTGCTGCAGCATTCCGTCAACTTCCACGTCGACGGCGTTCCATGTGCGCACCCCGTCAGCATTTTCGCACAAGTACATTCTTGTCCAGCTTGCTGCGAGGCGGAAAATAAGCCGTGTGTTACGACACGAAAAGAAACGAGAATTATTGGGATTACAATGATTTATTCCATGGTTAAAATACTGGGACAGCTCAACAACGTTGAGAAAGAGAAACTCGAATTAGCAATAACTGTACAGCGAAGCCAACTACAGAATTAGAAAGCAGCTGCAAAACCATGAACCATGCGCCATGGCCACGCCTCAGGTTCGATTTAATAAACACGGGAAACGGTAGGGAACGAAATGTTGTTGGGAGTAGTACAGTTACTACATTAATTCCCAACTACGGAATGATGAATGCCGCAAGCAAGCAAGCATGCAACTTTATTCCCCCAGATTTCTTCCGGCAGGGGCACACCAGGGCCCAGGCATTGTGCCAAGTACTGTATTTAACGATAAAACAAAAAAACTGAGATAAAACACAAAAACAAAATTATATAAAATTAAAGCATTAAGGGTAGTAGACAGAAATTTGTATTTAAAACATTTATTTTAATTGTACAGAAAGAAGGTGATGATGATGATTACGAACGCATGATTATGAATGAATTTTGCGAGAAATGCATAAATTCTATACCAGCAGCCACCACGGGCGGCTGCTTCGGACATGAACGTTTGTGGCAGTTATGAACGTTTGTGGTTTCTTGTAGACATAGCGTAAGGTTCGTGTGGGGAGCCGTTGAAGAGGGTGGTATGGTATTATGGTAAGGAAAAACGCGCCTATTAATTTAAGGGACACTTGCCTCGTACAGTAGCTGTTTGTACAACCACTACCGTCTCCAGTGTTTATTAATGTCTATCCTTGGAACACGGGGATGTCATTTGGTTATCCACCGGAAGCGGTAGAACTTCGTTGTTTCACAATTTTCCGTTGATTTAGCCCCACAGAAAAATGTTTAAACTGGTTGAAAAGAAGCAGTTTTGCGTAGAAGTTTAGCTTGAGTGGAGAGAAATTACCTGCCAGTGTGAAGTTTCAGGAATTTTCGAAGGAATAAATGCGGTTTGATCGCACAACATTGCGTTGCTGAGATGTTATGGCGATTCCTTGCTTCCGTGACTTCTTAGGTGCACATTGTAGGACTAACTCCCTGGAAATGGATGATTGGTTTTAACGCACTTGGCGGTGTGTGCTTTGCGGCATGTGTGTTAGATGTCCTGCACGAACCCAGTAATTACTGTGTACAGGATGCGTCCTCTTGTGTGAGGATTGTCAAGTACGCATTTAGAAATGTATCCTCTGGCAATTAATACAATCCGTAGACTGCGTACTAATTCCCATCATTAAACAGCGGCACCTCCATGGGAAGCATTCATTACCTTGCAGTAAAAACGGTCTACGTGCTCGTTGTATCGCGGAAGTAGGCGGAACGTGCCAATGTACGAAACAGGTTGCAGTGGCTGCATTCCTCTTGCAAAGGCACGAAAAAGATCGATATGCCAGGCTGCCAGCCACCATTTCTCTGCCAGCGCCAGGAAACAGATCGATATGACGATGTACTTTGCGACCTACGTGCAAGTGTGAGTCTGTAATTCAGTCATGTTTTTCCGCTAACGGTTTGTTCCATGCATCATGGAAAAGATTAACGCCATGCTCTAGTCTCGCCGTTGTCGGTATAAATTCAGCTTGACTTTCCAAGATTTGTCGACTAATCATTTTCGGATATCCTTCACCATGCAGAAGCAGAAACGAACCCTTAGCTATTACTTTCACAAAGGTCGTTCCTGGGCGTTTCAAGAAATCATTACGGAAGCCCTCGTCGTTCTCTGGTTCGCCATCCAGATATGTATGAGATTGGGGATGCGTTGGTTTCGCGGAGGTTTAGGGATGCGAGTGGATCCCGTGCTCCGCTGGCGCTGGACCGAGTCATAGAGTTATTTAATTACGTAAGCTACGGTACTTTTTATTAGCGTCACATTCTCATTGTTATGAGTGTAACGCCGTGCTCGTGTTTGTACGAGGTGCAAAGCAATACTCTATCTGTTACGCTTTTTTCATTATTTCGCACAACTTTTCCGTGTCCTTTCTGCTTTAACTTTATTTAACGGAAGTTTGTTTGTTAGTTCGTGGAATTAATGTGTACACGCTAACATAAACGGGAACATTACTTCAAAAACAAAAATCTTTTTGGGATGTTATGTGAGTGCTAATTTTCCATAGAATATGAGCGGCTCTGTCTGGGATGATGTCATGGCCCCCTGGGCGCGCTCTTGCGATCTCTCTACCGCGCCATATACCCCAACTGTAGTTTTTATGGCAAGTATTGGCATTTTTACGTCGGTCTATGGCACGGCCATCATGGCCGTGGCTATGTGCTGCTCGCTGTGCGTCAACCGCAACTGGGAACATCCCCTCTGGCAGCAGCACTTCCCCGCCAGTGTCACCGCATTGCAGCCCTGACCGGGTACACCGGCTACGATATTCCGTCGTGTGTGGGGATGATACTGCGGCGTCTTCTGCTGTTGGTTGGATTAGGCTGCGCTGCGCTGATGTGGGTGATGGTTTGTGCGTTGCCGGTCGTCGTCTCCGCGTCGGCGCTGGTTGTGGCGTCCGCGCACGTACTGGGCAAGCAAGCGATGTTGCCCTCGTGTGTCGTCAGATTAAGTTTGCTATCGGTGAACTGCACCGGCAGATTGTTCGGATGGTGGATGGATAAACCGTATTGGGATTCGATCCGCAAAAGAATTTGGTATGTATACCTGGGTTTCTCTCATATTTCGGTCAGATCTTGGGTTGTATTTCCGAGTACACGAGTTTTTCATGAAGCTTGTATATACCTGTGTCCTTGGCTCATCGATGTTGTGCATGTCGGCCAACGCTCTTCGCAAGAACCACCGAAAGACGTTAACCGTCAGGAATGCGACGACTACGAAAACTACGAAAACTACAAAACTTATGAACCCTTAGAAACTAAACGGTCTAAGAAACACAAGAGAACACAAGAAATCCAAAAAATCTAAAAAATCAGATTCCTATGATAACATACGAAAACTAAAGCATCTAAGTAGTCTATAAAATCTGAAAAAATTAAGGAAGTACATATACCCAGATGCACCAGAAAGCCCATCCCGAGACCCGAGCACCGCTACGTGAGCAGCTGCTGATTGCGCTTATTCAAGTAGCGGCGCTTTGATACGGCTGCTTATGCAAGTGGATATTTCGGTTCTTATAAACCCAATTTGTTTAAATGATTTTACTCTGAAAAATATCGAAGCATATTGTAAGTTGTAACGGCTGGAGCAAGTGACTCCACAAGGTGTGTGTACGGAAAATGAGCCGACGGGCTGCCTGCGCATTCGCATACGATCAGTGCGTACGCTGCCAGCGTTAATTTCCGGAACACAGCCTCTGTAGTCTGTACCACAGAGTTTGTGGTGTCACTTGCATGAGCCGCTACACTAGCTAATTTTTCTTTTTTTTCTGAAAGTAAATGCCTCCTGCTGCTCTGCACAGGGCAAGGCTTTCTGGGCAAGGATTGTTCACATACTCGTTTCCGGAGGTCCTCTGCAAAAAGAAGCTTGAACTGACTGGAATAGCAGTCGCGATACGTTCGCCACTGTTCTGCAAAAACTGCGTTCTGATCTTGCTGACTTGCGGTATTGTCGCGCTCAACGCCTTTACCGTATTCATTGGGTTTCTTGGAACGAATGTGACGTTCAGTGAAATGGGTTCCCACCCGAACAACCCCGCTCTGGATGGCCACACGAGCCACTGGCCCGCTTGGCGCAAAACGGTAATGTGAGCGTGATGCACTTTCACGGTAGTAAAATATACCGTAAGGAAATACGATTTCGTTAGGGCGCTGATAGTTGTAGGCGGCAGTGTAAAGCGCCATTCTGGTACTCGTCCAATTGTTTGAGCATAACACTATGGCTATTTGACACTAACCTTGTCCAACCAGTTACCGATGCTGGTCTTCAGAGGGTGACCTACACCGGTGCCATGGTGGCGTCTTGGACGGACACTGCTGTTAACTGGCGTTTTAGTAAGCACCAGTATGATGCTGGTCCTGCGGCCTCCTCGTTCTGCGAAGCACTCGGTCTTCTACTTATGCTTGAATGCGCATTGCTGATGATAGCGAGCGGCTTTATGGCTACTACCTTCGGAGCAGTGCGGTATGGAAAGAGGCTTATGGGCTATCTGCGCTTCCTGGTGGAGTGTGTCTGCCCGGACGACCCCGCCACATATTTTGATGAACGGTATGGCTGTTTGCACTTGACATTTTCGGCTCCAATAAACCTTTAATGCAGAGCAACGATTTTGTTTCCATTGCTTTAACGGATTGACAGGGCTCTTTGGAGTGAAAGAACAAGCCAAAACATTGTAATTCATCAGCATTTCCCCGGTCTAATCTACAAAAGAGTTCCCGTGCCGAATGCGGACGTTCCCCGGGAACATGTCGACAGTCACAACACGGGCCAAACAGTTGCGGCATTACCTGTTGTTGTCAGTGTGGAATACCGATGTGCTTGCTATCAGTTGGGCAACGCACTACTCTGCAGCCTAGAAGTTATCCGTTGTACGGCCTGCTGGCTGTTTCTCCTCTTCCCGCTGACGGAATTCCTTGTACTGGAGTCGCTGCAATTGCCGACACTGCTAATTAGCCTGACTGGGTATTTTCTGTGGATGTATCATCGTCACTTCGATGGGCCTGATTGTGGAAGTGAGCTGACCCGCGAGCCTTCGCCCTCGCCCGAATCCAGCGCGCCAAACGGGCGAAGAAGATGCCGCTAACAAAACGCATAACGCAGCAAAGGGTACCCAGTACGGAAACGTTTTGAAACCGTCTCCAGACGAGAATACCATTGCGCAACAAATGGTCCACACCGCCAGTTCATGAGTCTGGGAGGTAAAGTACTCATCCGCTAACATGGCCTGTTTATACATCCAAATGTTATGTGACGTGCTTTCACATATTATGTGTACGGATGCGTTCACCGGTAAACAGGTGTGCTATGCAGTTGTTGTGAACTACCTTCACGTAGTTATCTGTGTCTAGAGACGTCTGTTTTGCATGCTTATTTCTCAGCGTTCTGCTGAAGTTGAATTTGAGAGATCCATCATGAGCGTGTACAGTAAAGATCATAAATGAGATTCGACCGTATTCTCAGTTGTGTATAGCGTAGGAGAAACGTTCATATATCACAAGCATCGCCACAAACTGACGATTTCTTTGGTGACACTGTGTGTGGTGCTGCTGTTTATTGTTAACGCTGGTTACTGATATGTCGTTAGTCTAATCAAGGTAATCTTGCAAATGCAGTACGCAAATTTTAATACGTAGTATCAATTTTGCTAATTTTTTATTGCTTGTTTCTGCAAATGCCATAATCTGGCCGTCCCTGAAAACTCCTTGCAGAAATTATGTTTTGCTGCGTAGCTCCTGGTGTTGCCCATTTTCATAAGAACTTGGGTCGCTTCATAATTCATGGTGACTCAAAATTTAATGCAGAGTGCACTGAAATATTACAATATTAAGTACTTACAGCATAAAAGCTGTTTACCACACTCGGCATTTATAGATTGCCAACCGGAAATCTGCGAAAAATCCCCTGTGATATAGTTGAATTATCTGAATTTGATTGTTCGATAGTTATTAATTTCTTTTGGCCCTTTCTTCTCTGTCAAGCCAATTGGCAGGAAAATCAACCAACACGATTAGGAAGCGAAAACGTGGGCTGGAATGTTGTGGATGCGTGGTACCATTATGGACCTTTACCTGTCATACCTAATACCTATTTATGAACCTTTAGTCATCGAGTACGTATACAGACTGTACTGTAGTCATCGTGTACGTGAACAGAATCACGAAAAATAGCCTATTTTATTACCAGAACAAACGTGTACATAAGCAAAACAAAGACTGTTTCTGTAAGCTTGTGAATCTAGTCAAACAGTGATTAGGACTGATCGGGGGCCTATCCCTTCAGAACCATCCGATCCCAGCACGACGCCCGGCGTGCCAGGAGCGCCGCGATCACGGCCGCCAGCGCAGTGAGATTCCATCGCTCCATTCCCGAGTGCCGGATGACGATCGTGCGCTGCGGCTGGTGCAGCATGGAATGCTCCATGCGGACGCCCATGTCGTTGGAGACCTCCCTAACCAGTTGCTCGATTGCTGCATCAAGCCCACCCATGTCCCCCTTGGCGTCCTCCGTTCCTGGGACATTGCACAGGCTGATGGTCCGGGTGTTTGGCGCGATGTGCTTGAAGAAGCAGGCGTACACGAGGTAATCACCATCCCACTGGATGCGTTGAGAAGGACGCTGCCGCGATACCCGCACCTCCGTGCACAGTTCCGCGGACGTGAGAAGGGTTTCCCACAGTTGACAGGTGCGACGGCAGCGCTGTCGATCCACGGTGTCCAGCGAGCGGAAGATCTCCTTCAGCACCTCGAATGGCAACCACAAGCCGTGTTCCCCGACATCCAGCTGCTCTTTCTGCTGCAGCTTTTCGTTTTCGTTAAGCAATTCACACTGAATTCCTGAATGCTTTGCTTTTCTTTCGAAGGCCCTCAACTATAGTAGGATCGGCGGGTTATACGTGACTTTAATGAAGGTGAACACGTTCAAAAATACTTTTTAGAAAAGCAGGCAACAAAGCACCATGGGGATGCAATCGCTGCATCGCATCATATCATTTAACTAACTGAATCTTTAAAGTTGAAAATTTGATCAACATGACCAGCAGTCTAACAGAAACCTGCCACTCACGATATCTGCTTCGGCCCAAGGGAAATCCTGACGTCGCCGCAGAAAGTGCATTTCGTTGCCAAGAACCTTGAGCACATGCAGCTGCAGCTCCTGCTCCACTTGGCGGAGCAGCCACGGCGAGGCCGTCCCCTCCTGCGCCCAGTAGTCACTGATCCCAGTACCTTGGTACGTCTGCTTGACGAAATCGCCCGCAGCAATGGATCCTCGCCCATGTGGTTCCCTTGAGGGAAGGCGAATCTGTCGGTGGGGAAGCAGTTCGCGTCGACACTGCCCGTCCATCATCGCCTCCACCAGCGCCACATAATTGAGCTGACCTAACATGCGAATCAGCATCTTCCCGGGGTACCATTTCCAGGGTCGCTGCGAGCCGTCGTGCAGCAGCACCTCCACGGCAGATCCCCGGGGTGCCTCGCTGAATCGATAGGTGGAGCAGTCCCAGATCTTCCCGTATTCCACCACCGCCGCCTGCTGCGTCGGGCATCCGAAATCGACGATCAGGCGCGGCGGAGTGTGGCCGTTCTCTGGCTTTTCTTCCAGGCCGACGACATTGCCATGCTGCAGGGAGCCGTCAATCTCCACATCCACAGCATTCCACGCGTACACCGATCGCTCACCATTCTCGTACAGATGCATGCTTGCGTTTCTGGCCCAAAGGAGGAAGCAGAGATGTGCCTGATAAGAACGGGTAATGGACAGTTATCCTAACGCCGCTGAACAACGTTGGAAATAGAGAAAAAAGGAATACAGTGAGTGAAACAGGCAAAACTCTGGCATGGCCAGCTGATCCGAAGTTCGAACCATCCGATGCGTGCGTGAGCTGCACTGTTGCGCCGCCTCAGGGCGGTTACGAGCCAGATGCCGTGCGGATGCCGGGAAGTAGTGTCTGCTATACTTCGACTTGTCAGCCGTTCTGGCTCCCCTTGCAAATCGGTTTCGCATTTCAGATCCTTGCCAAATGAAAAATTAATGATCTCTTATCCGGATTTACTGGCTAAACGTGTGCAAATACACACACAATACACACCAGACTGTCACAGTTTTCAGACAACAGCTTCACAGCGGGCTTGAAATACTGTTTCTTGATTTTACCAGAACAGAGCACATTAGCGATACAGATACCGGAAATGTCGACGGAACCCGTTTAACAAGAATGGCTGTGCAGACAGAGCAACGGCCCGCATCGTCACAGGTGACCGAACAGGGATTCCTCACGTTTCTTAACTTTAACAACCTTTTGCACTCGCTTTCATTCCGTCACAATTTCCTTGCACAACCTTTTTGCGCACTACCATTCACTCGGTGCACTACCAAACTTTTATATATATCTATATATTATACCAAGTACTTACTATAGTGTGAGGAGGACTGGTAACCTACCGTCTGACGTCATCACTCTCGCATACACGGGAGGGCGGCTGCCATGGTGACAGATGCGCGTTTTTTACGGTTTTTGTCAGTTTTCTCAGCATATTTCCTTTCTCTTCTATTTCTAGCCTCTCATGTTTGGGTTTCTAAATTCAATATGATCTGTTAAAATATCAGAAGCTTTAGAGGACAAAGGAACTGAGAATATCTTTAAAAAGGGACAATAAAATCGGTGGGCCTATGGTAAGCAATAGCACACCAGTGCATTCTGTATGCGACAGTGATGACGTAGTCGACCGTTGCAGAGTCGCTTCCCAGTCCTCTACCTATAGTAAGTTCTTGATTATACTTAAATATTTGTAATCTATATTACTACAGAAAAGCAAAATTTCAGAAACAGTATTACTAGCTTTTTGCAACATCATGGAACCGTTCCGACGAAGACGTCCTGGTGTATGACAACGTCGGCAAATAACTCACGTGGCAAGCGAAGATTGAGTATACAGTACAAGTGTTACGGAGCAGATCGTGTTACGGAGCGGAGACTAGGGTGAAAAACGTTGCTGTTCAAAATCCAAAAAAGCGGTCGAGATTGCGCGTTTTTTTTATTCCAGAAATAACTCTGCTGTGAAAAAAAAATTGAAAGGTTGTGTACGGAATGAAAGGTAGCGTTGTTGTTTACAAAGGGGTTGTTTACGGATTGAAAGGGTGTGAAAGGGTGTGTACGGAGTGGTCACCCAGAGTTTTTACAGCATAAAATACTTTAGAACATTTTTTTATGGGGCATCGGACCTAATGAGTGAATAGCTTTAATTTATCCTGGCACTGGTTACACCGATATTTGCCGAGCACATGAAACTTTCATGTGTTCGGCAAATCTCGGTATAATCGCTAGGCAGTGAAACTAATGCCGATTTTTTACAATGGTATCAGTTGACTACACTATGCTTGCGTTAACTACAACTCGCATTAATACATCGAAGTACGTATGTACCGTAAAAGTTTAAGTGCGAAGGTGAATTTAACAACAGTCCGAGCACAATATTATTCAATTAAAGCTCTTAATGTGGATATCTGGACAAGCGACCCACGGAACCAAATACAACGACTGTTCACTGCTGATTTATAATGATCGTATCAGAAAGGGTCAAAATCAAAATCACTAATATGGCCGTCAGGTTCACCCTTTAATTATCAGCACACTCAATAATTAACGCATTAGTTACTGTCAGTTAACCGCAAGTAAGACGGAAGAAATTCAATTGTAGTGCACCATGCAAATCGCATTCCAGCGCAATTTTCCAACGCATATTTCAAGCAGTGTGGTGATCCACATCGCACAAACAGCGCCAGGTCAACTATTCTCTGCTCTTCCACGGTTAACGGCGCACTTGGACGAAAGTCGTTAAAACGGCGTCACGATACGTTGTTTACTACTCAATAACATGGGATCTGAGTAATTATTATCCCTCGGATTAGGTTGAAAAAACATGGCTAAATAATATCGGAAATTCAACCAAACTGAATAAGACAGCGAAACAGCCTAAACATTAAAACTGCGTACAAATCTATCCACTTTGCTCAGTAACTGTGTACTGCTGATACTTTATTAGAATAAATTAGGTGATCGTTTATGAAATGATAAGTGTGCTCGCATTTTGTGCGCTGATAATAACACCTGAAGCGCTGTTACTGCCCCGAAATATTCAATATCATTAAATTAGTGTTTATTCATTCATCCACGGTCACGGGGAGTGCCCCTTCCTCGTCTTCCCAGTCCTGACGTTGCACCTGGTGTTGGTTCCGATTCAGTACACTTTTCCTCCACATCGTTTCTAGAATTCCGCTGCAGGATTTGATTCCCAAGCACTCCCGGTATCTGCCTTGAAATCTCTGTCATGAATAATCTCATTGACGAAAGGTTAAAATTTATGCGGCGACATGAAGCTGGTGTCAGAAAGTTTACCTTTAAAATATTGTATGTACCAGGACCGACTCATTACAGGCCTGAGAGCCGAAAAAGTCACGTGACGGGTTGAAGAGACACAGTTATCTATCAGTATGTTAATCCATTTACGGTTCCAAAAAAATATTTCTGTTGGTTGCAATCAGAAACGGTTCCGCAATAGCTTAGAAGAAAGAGAAAAAAATTTTATGCTTTTTGATAATAAATTTTCGGGCAAAAGAAGCAGAATGAATGTAGTTAGGTGGTTTGAATTAACATGCAAGGCTATGGCACTCACTGGCAGCCGTTGCAACGGTCGGCCCGTGAGCTCATTCCTGTAAGCGTCTCATTTATAATCACGTGACAGCCCAGCTCTCAGGCCTGTATAGAGTCGGTCCTGTTAGTACAAACCGACAAAAATCAGTGTGTCTTTGCCATCCCTCGAATATTCCTGTTGACATCGGCTGGTTTCGTCTGAACTTGTCCGATTGCTAAGCGAAAGCTGCTTAAGGACAGCGCAAAATGATGGGATCCAGAACAGCTTGAATCGGAAACAAAATTCCCGTGATTTCACGGAAACGCGACCAGCCCGTGACGTCCATGAAGCAGCGCAGTGTATAATATAATTCACTGGGAATCCAGCACACCATAATACTGCAGGTCAGTAGGGTCAGCAGCAGAAAAGGGCGAACGCTGTCGTCGTTTTTCCCACTTGATACGGCTGCTACTTCCACTCTCTGCTTAAAAACAATTTTTTTAGTGAAAACCGATGCGCATTTTCTTGATAATTCTTGATTTGCTAACACTGACAAACTCTGTACCCGGCTAAGGTTGTTCTGGTTGTTAGGTCCACCAACCGGTTCCCGTGAGGCTCTGATTAAATTTTTCCTTCGCCGCCGACGGAGATATGCGAACAGAATATAGGGATAGGATAAAATAGCAGCACTAGCGGGCAAACCGAACCCTACCAGAGTGACTACAGTTGAATGCAGCCATTGCTTTGCCGGGTCTAAATAGCAGTCAAACTTTTCTTGTGCCTGCCAGTAATACAGCTCATCAATGACGAATAGGGGACCACAGACGATATGCACATACATCAACATTCCCAGAGACAGTAGACACGCCACTTTTGTGGTGTGGAAATTCCGATACGAAAACGGAAAGGTCAACGCCCACAGACGATTTATGCTGATCAGACTATGCACGTGCAGCTGCACCGCAAGGAACACCCAGCAGTGGTAAACGTAGAAACTGCACGCGGCTCTGGACATCCACCAACGTCCGTACACTGTTCGCAGTATCTCCAGAGGATAGATTCCCACAGCGTAGAATATGTTGGATGAGAGAAGGACAATGAGATACACGCTGAATCCGGTGCGAAGTGTTTTGTGTAGGACGAAGAAAAGGAGCAGGGAGATATTGAGGACCATTTGCAGTACGAAGAATGACATTCGTATGACGGTTTCGAAATCCCAGACTGCAGCCCACGTTACACTGCTCGTAACGGACTGATTTGACGTGATATTACTTAAGGTGGTGTTCATGTCGGGATTCACAAATCAGTAAAAGATGGCTCTAAGTTGTCATATACAAAGGAACGGGGCACAGGTTTCTCACATCAGTCTCTTTCACCATCTTCTATAGAGAGTTATGAGAGATAAGCAAACCTGCGAGTCTAAATTGCTGTACGGGTCTGTGGCGAGAACGATAACTCAACGCGCTAGAAACGAACTGGAGCATGATACTGGGAAGATTACCAGCAAAAACAGCCGATATACAGTGACACCTCTCAATAAAATACAGGGACGGTTCCAATAAACCTGTACCTTATAACGGGGTGTATTTTATGCAGAGGAACTGCCCTCAGGCGCACCGCTGTATTTTATAAGGCCAGGGGCGAGGGCGCAAAATTTATTACCTCAATAATTGACACCTAGTCGTCTGAGTACATAAATAAAAATTTTCTGTTGAGGTGCTTCGGTAACGTTGGTCGTTTATATTCGACAGCGAATCTGCTTGCATCGAACTGCATCCAAATTTGCCGCTAGCAGACATACAGATTGCACCCGGAATTGAATGTTATTCAGAAGTTCGCCATCGTTCAAATTAGATTCGGTTACAGAGAAAGTGTATGTAACTCTTATAAAGAGGGGAATGCTATAACGGGATTTGCCCCTATGCTATAGTCTACGAGCCATTCCGGCTCCATATGGCATGGATGCTGTGGAGAAAGGTGCTTTATAAAGAAGTGTAATTAAAGGGGCCAATTACTGTAATCGTCTTTCGCGCGGTAAACTACCAAGGACGGATCGCAAAACAGCCACTTATTTACGGTAATAATTCTCCAGGAATTCCGCAAGCGATGCTGACTATGTATAATAATGGCATCTAGATAAAGCTTTACACTGGAAATGCTGTCATGTAAGAGCAAGAAAGTCGTTCTACAGTTTATTCTTGCGATATTGCAACTACGCCGGAAGTAAACCAATGAATACCTAGCGGAAACAACGCAGCAGTTTACTCAGTTACACCTCTTCTGTGCAGTCAGCATATGCAACCAACTGAGACACTGCTGCGGGCTGAGTGCTGTTCCACTAGAATAAGCAGAACTGCATCAGTACACCGTGTTCAGCTTTTTACAGTTTAGAGAGCAATTTACGAATAACAGCCGGCAATAGCTCTAAAAGGCATCTTTTGCTTTTTCCGAATTTCAGTTCGTGCAGGTAACCGGTAGTTTCAATAACTGGTATTATAGCCGCGCTATACTTCTAGTTAGAATACATCTCCTCAGTGCCGCGCATTTTCAGTTTACTGTCGACCAAAGACCGCATTACACGAGATACAGTATTAGTAATTTACAAGAAACAGCTGCGGCTACGCCTTTGGTTTTCTTAATCACAAACGGTTTACGCTAATGTGACTTACGAGTACATACTTCATACGAGTAGGAACTATTTCACGAGATTCCTGACCAGATTCCTGCCTTGCAACACTGCCAGTGAATATCAGTGTTCTATTGTTGTTGTGTTGTGTTGCTGATATAGTTGTCATTCGATAAAGGACCAGTGCCGGTCAATACTTGACAACTTATGATTTTGGTAAATGAATAAATCCATTAAGTGCCTTGGCAGAACTGAAGCGCATGTGCTGGTCACTGCCGGTAGCTGTGTCACTCACTATTTATTGGTTTTTCTCACTGGACAATACTGTTAGCTCGGTTACCCACTAACCTGTTAATTTTGCACACTGGACAGAAGCGGTAATGGTAGTAATGGTGGATCGGTCACTTGGTTGTAGCTATTGTGATCGCTCACAGCACATTAGTGATAGCTGGTAGTTTGCCTACCTACTTGAGCAGCGATTTTCTTCACTGGCCAGTGGTGGTAGCTCTGTTAAGGCGCTCTCAGAGTTGATGTTCGGAGCTGTTTTGAACAGAATTTCAGAAAAGACAGCTTGAACTATGAAAGACTGTGTTCGCGAACAGAAAACTGTTCGGAGGAGTTGAGTGTGAGAAAGCGCAGGACAGTTGCAAAAAGACCGAAAAAGACATCGAAAAAAGACACTTTTTTCATGTTCGGGTTGGGCGGTCCCCCCGCTACTAAAAAACATGTTCGGAGGCATCCAGCCAATAGCTTTCATTTGACCACTATGACGCATACGGATGCGATGAACTATGATTACTGCATATGTAATTATGTACACGGATACGTGTAACATAGATACTTTTATGTTACAAGTACATAGATATTTTACAATAAAAACCACAAACTGAAGTATTCTTTCCTGTTCGCTGTAAAGCTTGGAGCCTTGTTTTTAGAATAATTAACTGCTGAATATAACTATTGCTCTTCGACGTTTATTATATTTGTAAATTAACGATGGCATCCAAAGCCCCTACCCCCAGGCCTGCGAAACGTGGTCGTAAACAAACGCAGTTGTCACAGGATAATACCGCATCTGCATCTGTCGTTAACTTTGCAAGCAACACTTTTGCAAGCGCTAAAAATGCTAGCAAAGCAGGCAGCTTCTTCTTAACAATATCGCTTTTCGAAGGCATACTGGCAGCTTTTTGTGGTATTCGCAGCTTATCGAAAAGATTAAAAATAATTTATTCGATCAAGGAACTACAAAGCTAATAACAATCTGAAGGTAGCGTTACGCCGGATCCAAGCTTATGTGTACATTGCGCACTTTCATCACAGCTACATCGAAGTTTCTATTGGAGGTTGAAATTCGAAGAAGATAATGTTCCTTCTACTATGAGCGAACCGCTTTAAATGAACAAGTTTCAGAGAGACACGAAAACTTGTTCGGTTCGGTATTTTGTTTCGAACAACTTGTCTTTGAATCTGTCTTTTCTTGTTCGGTCTTTTATTTTTTGTTCTGTCTTTTGAGCGAACATCAACTCTGGGAGCGCCTTAAATTAGTCACTCAGTTCAGCTTACTCTGAACGCTTCATAAAATACGAAGATAAATTTGGCAAACATTTACAAAAAAAAACATTTTTTCGTTGAACAGCAATAAAATTATAAAAATGTGAGGAACCGGTGCGAAACATTTGTAAATGTGGCGCGAGTAAGTGTTTGAGGAGTGGTGCTAGCAAAATCAGACTTACGGTACTGTACTTATAAGGATCAGTAGGGTCAGAGCCTTGAATACTGTACAGAGTGCCGACATCGAAACCCGGGAGTTTGACCTGCGGTTATTTTTGTGTCTGGTGTGACACGTGGTGTGGTAAGTAAAATTAACTAATAATTTATTTTTCGTTTACTTCTGGTGCCTAATAATAATTTTTGTTAGTATGGGTTGTTTCGAAATAGCTTATTTGATGTTTACATTGTAATAAGTGAATTTATACTAAGCTAATTTAGTAGACAAAAAGATCAAGAGAACATAAGAATTCTTTGTGACAAAATACAAAGTGGTAGAAATTATTATGATGTGAATTTCGTAACAAACTGGCGTTTGCAGATTACTAGGCCGGCAGAAAAACGGGAAGCGCAGCTGCTCTACAGAAGCTATTTACGAAACTGCCGAAGTTGCCTGACATCATTGCACTGACCAAACAAATTTCAACACTTTTTTAAACAGCCTTCGTGAATGATATCTTTTTTTCGTCCTCACGCTTACTAAACGGCTTGAACGCCTGAAATTACAAGAAAACTAACAAAAACTAACAAAATGCTTGAAAATAACAAGGAAACTAAAACAAAAAATAACCGTGGTGCGCCTGAAAATAACAAGATTTCAAATATAAAACAAACCGTCATACCATACGGTGACTCATTCGTGGCTCTTTTCAACAAGCTGTCGCACTTATCGCTCTCATTCAGTAATAGCCCAACGTCGTGTCATAACCATCTAAAACCGGTAAAAGTCCTGATGGAAATCCATTGCGCTTCTCTGAGGTAAAACAGCTTCGGAAATGCTTATTACCGATTACTTTTACTGCATTATAAACTATCAGATAGCTGACATTGCAGCAACCGCTGCAAACAATTCTGCAGGTGGATTGTGTGTAAAATCGTGTACTCTCAAAAGATTTCTTAGGTTTCTTAGGCAAAACATTCGACTCGGTATTCAATGTCGCGGTGGCCCGCGTAGTAACTAAAAAGTTTCACAAAATTAATGAAACTGGGATTGAAATCTGCTAATTAAAGTTGGGCATATACAGCGAATAATAGTTTCTGATGCTACACTAACAAGCACGAGGACCCAGTTGTGGTTGGACTTCAGGTTTATGCTCAGGCTTAAAATAAAGCTTAGAATATACTTTATTTTATTCCATTTCTTTCTATGCCATTGATATCAAAGATAAAATTTAAGCAGCAACAACGATGTAAGCAACAACGACTGTATATGAATGCTTCGGCCTCGACATGTGCATTTCGTGCTCTTGCACTTTGTGAATCAATAAATCGAGCGCTCGGCTGAATTTAGTGAATCAGCAGCCACTCTACTCTAGCGGACGACTAAGTACTTTAACGACTAACGGGCAGCAAGAAATCGCCGAACATTTTGTACTGCAATTTTTTCTAACAATCTCCGCTGCCTCTTCCATAATGAGCAGAACGGTATCCTGCAAAACCGCATTCTTTCAAATATTGTATAGTAGTTTTCTATTCCGCCTATCGTGCGGTAAAGTATTCTAGTATCGTCAAAACTGCAGTATTAGTGGATTATTAATATTATGGGAAAGGAAGTGGGAATAATCGGTAATCGGGCCCTTCAACAAATGTACACCAACACGGTCAGATGTGTGTGTGTAGTTTTTATCGATTCGCAAAGTGTATAAGCGTAACTGCGGTAAAAAAGTATGTCACTTAAGCAAGCATAAGATACCTAATGAAGTTCATGTATAGGTTTCATTGTGCCAAATCTCATGTAGATATTCCAAAGTAGAATTTCATGTTCCCATCTCGCACATATATGACATACCAAGCTTAATCAATGCTGCGAAGGAATAGTTGGGAATGCCATCATTTAAGACTGTTCCGTAGTCTGCGAAAGTCTGAATTACATAAACAATCATAACAACTTTATTTAGCAATAAGGACGTTGGCTGAAGTTGACCGAGAATTTGCGTACTTATATACAGTAGCGTATTTTCTTTTAGTGTAATTTTGACAACAGAATCAAAAATTATTTTATCCGCATGACACGATATTTGGCAAATATGGAGTATTAGGACAACAAGCGCTATGTACTCTATATATGAAGGAAGAAATCGTTGACTGCGCTGATCGCCCGGTGAATCTTCTACCGCGGTGCGATAAACTGATGAAAATATTATCGCGCGTCACACTCATCTTTGGAGCATCACACAGCACAGTAATTACAATTAAAAACCAGTCGTTGAGGAACGGTAACATAATGATTTCACACACATCAGTGACAAAATTAATGAAAACTGGAGAGTACATCCACAGATAAGTGCATAGTGCATTCTGCGCAATGATGCCAATTATCACAGCAGTTTATCGCACTCGACGCACACATATGATTAATAAACAAACGCGTGCAGAACACGGATAACTGGAAGGTTTTCAGTGGAAACCTTAACAATATGTTCTACCCCGTACTGTATTACGTTCACTGCGCACTTAGTACTCCCGTTCCCCGAGCACGTGCAATTGCAGTAAGGAGTGCCCCGGTAATCTCCATCCACCGTATCAAGCGCTTTCGCCATCAATCTGGAAAAATATTAATCAACTTGTAAACGACAAACATCCGCTTCGTCAGAATTGCAGCCGAATTACGCGAACACCTTTTGCATTTTGCAGGCCGATTAGTCATAATTATATGTGGGGTGCCATTTTATATAATGGTTTGTTATCGATATAAACGACCGCTGATAGAATCTTCATTGACAGTGTGATGGAATAGCGAGTTTAGACAAGTTTGCGCCACATCATGCCCTGTGCGTTGAAAGTGTCATTTGCCCTTTGCGCGGCACTGGCATTCATCGGTGTGGTTTGGTGCAGTCCTCTGCCGATGGAAGAATTCCAGTTCACGCCCCCCGTCGGCATCTGGCAAACCCGGGAACGGCCCACTTCGACAGCCGGCAGCGGCTATCGCAACGGACATCGTTTGCGCTGGAGTCCCAGCAGCGGATGGGCCACCGGACCTGGAAAGCGCTCCCCGGGAAAGGTCATCGAGATCCCGGAGGGACCGGAAACGGATAAAGAGGGGCTGATCCAACTGTGTGATCTCCTGGAGCAAATTTTCGTCGAGTTGACGGTTGTGTCAGAAGAGGTAATAATTGCCAAATATTCTGTATAATCTACACGTTTACTTCGGTACTTGATTTTTTTTTTTATTATACATCTTCTGTGCGTATTTCGAAGTTATTGAGAGTGAGTCGATTACTTAAGAGTCGTGCAACTGTAGCAGCCTTCTTCTGGTCTTACTGCACTGTGAGTGCAGATATTCTATAATTTTTATTTGCCGGGATGGCTGATGAATATGATGCGCATTTGGTATTCGTAATTCAACGAGTGCCAAGTAAGTAAATGTTCCGGAGCTGGTTTAGGAGAGTGCATGATGTTACCGCGCGACTATCGGTGCACTGTCGGTGTACGAGTGCATAACCAGCACCATTTGCACTTGCAAATATTATAATATTATTTGCGAGTTACTGCAAGCAACATAATATTAGCTGTTGGTGAAGCATGAAATGTGGCTATGTGCGATAACTTCATGCATATTATTCGTTTTGTTTTCATGACGTTTGTGAGTTGCACAGCGTAATGTACATTTGACTCACAAAACACCTCTGTTACCTTATAAGTTACGGTACATTAGGTTTACTATACGATTTCCGCTTGGCTTTTGTATAGCGCAGGGCAGCTCAATCGAAATACTTTTACACACAAGTGACACAACGTACAGCGGAAACGCATGTACAATTGTCGAATTCATGTAATAACGTACTGTATTTCGCACTTGTCCATGCAGTCGCAGTATGTGAATTTTTTTCTTTTAAGATAAAAGAGCTGAACCAGGTTTGCGACGATTTCCGTGGCAATATCAGCGTCGAAACGAAGGAAACGCAATGAACCTGCGAAACCCTGGACAACCTCCGCGGGACATACACTCATCGTAGCTGCTTTCTTCTGTTGACCTGCTTGCTTGCAGAATAACCATGTAATAACGGAAGCTGCGTGCATGAAATATATAATATTATTGTATGAATAGTATTACTTTTTAGTACCAGACTGTATGTACAGGGGTGCCGGGCCAAGTTGGAACAACTGCGTGAAATAATGTAATGTCTGAAAGAGTACTGTATATGAAAAAGTCCATACCGAGGAGCGCGGTTGCCTGGAGCACCGATGGCATTAGGCAAGATGTTGATGTTAAAAACAAAAGTAGCGGATGAAAGGATAGGAATTGCGCTACTGTCTGGTAGTTATCACCCCCTTCCAGTTTTGAATCATAGTTGTATGAAAATGGTTATTTGTTGTTCAGCAGCCCGATTTCTGCACCAAATTGAAGACCTATTTCCAGTTTCCCCAACTACCCTAGAGTTGAGCATCGAAACAAAATTATCGAAGGTGCTACAGACCGAGTGCTGTCACAAAGAATTACCGCATTTGAAAAAAAAATGGTAGATTCCAGTAGAAGCAGCGAAAGTAGAGGAATATTTCTGGCTGTCCCGACTAGGCCTGGCAGGACTTATGGGTACCATAGCCGCTGTATTTTTAATTTGGCGCTTTTAAAGTTGGCAAGTTTTGTATGACCTTGTAGAGAATTCTTTTATCCTTATGATGATGTGTTGCAATAACAGTAAATAATACTTCCAATAAGTTGAGGTAAGCTCAAATCGCTTCGCTGCAGCCGGCTGGCTGCATGGCCAAATACACATGAACAGCGGTAGCTGGAAATCCCTTGATCCGAGCGGCAGGGGTCAAAGGAGAGCTGCTTTTTAGAAAAACTGAAAAGAGAGAGTGAACGTTATTTCTATGGTCTTTCGTTTGTCATGGTTTTTAAGACTTTAAGAAAATTGGCTATGAAATGAAGATCCGAGAACTACGATTATGAAAATTACAAAATTTAAGAATTTACGAACATTTATAGTCTACCAGTTACGCTTTCCCGAAAATGGCCTGATTTGGCTGTAAATACCACCGCTATTATCCAAAACTTAAAAAATTCGATGAGACAAACACGACAAGTTCGGTTCGTTTTTTGTAATATTTTACATAATTATATGATTCTATAAAAAACAATAAAATTTGGCGAGCGGGACAACGCCTGCGCTCAGAAAGGTTGCGGTATAAGGACACCACCGATCGGGAAATAAGGACGGAAATAGGGAGTGGCAGACGGGAAATCACTATATTTATGTAATATCGATTTACTGTTTGTAGGGACTACATAAGATCGACATGAGTACGGCAATTTTCAAGACTGTAATTTTTTTAAAGTTTAGAGCATCTTCTTTCAGATTTAAATCTATTAAAGCTTTGCCACGGGAAGTGAATTTAAATTGCACTATGTCGTATTAGCTCGCTAAAAATTATATTTGCAGTCGTGCTTTTTCATTCTGAGTCTAAAAATAAAAAGGCAATCAATTCGCTGACGTATTCCGTGCAGTTTCTGCGGCTGTCAGATATCGCTTAATGGAGCGCTCTGGATGGTATTTTTAGAAACGTTTGCTAACGTTTACCAATGTACGTATAAGAAAAGCCATTTGCATTTTTTTCACCGCTTTTTTCGAATGTGCAGGAATCTTCGGGGACAAACTCAGTCCTTGTCAACGACAATTTCTCAATACTATCTCTTCGTCAGATTAGTTGTTTTTGTCTTTGCGATCCCATTCTTACAAAAACTGGTTTGTGTGACTGCGAGCTGTGAGGTAAAAGTAGAAGATATCAGATGGCGCTGGCTAAGCGCGCATCCTCCATCGACAGCGGAACAAAAGCAAACCCGGATGAAGGCTTTAATGCCGAAATCTAACACACACCGCGCCTTGCGCGCCAGCCAAAAACCAACTGGTCTCTGTAGGCAGCGCAGCTGCCTTACAGAGCCATCAAAACGCATGAAATGCCCAGACAGGAAAAACCCAAAACCAACCAATGAGAGAAGGGCTGAATCATAAGCCCGCCCTGACAAAGAGCTGTTAAAGTCGGAATTGCCCACTTGAAGACATGTAAACTGAAGTAGGCGGTACAGTAAGTCTATTGGATTACCATAGTTCTTCTGGTTTAGTATTCTTTCCTTTTCCTTTTCTTGATTCGCTCCGATCTGTATTTTCTGCATTGAGCTGTAGTTCACTAGATCATGGGCACCATTTCTTTTAAATCTTGGGCATTGTCGAGTAGGTAAAACCTTACCTCCACCTAACCAAATATTCAAACTTCGGATCATAAAGAAATTACGTGTTCCACAGTATCACCTGAGGCTAAGCCGACGATGATGTTTGTATGATTATGTTACAGATACCAGTCATACCACTACACTCCACTATTCACAATGACGAACTGAAAACCTGCAATATAGAAATCTGTTTTAATTTATTTTTCAATATGCCCATCAATGAACGCCACTCACGGTCAGTACATGCTATATACTGTACAATCAAATAAAGAATTTGTCCCAGTTAACATGAGAAGGGTCTGTGCACAATACACTCAGTTATATATACAGGATATGCACAATACGGGGTTATCAGCTGGGAATACACTCAACCTTAACGCTACTAATTGGCTCCTATTGTTAGCTACTAATTGTTAGTTACTAATTGGCCCATGGGGAAAGTCAGCTAGCCTATTGGTGAAAGAAATCGGCAAGCGACTCCAACTCCATACGGGTGAACCTCGCTCCCATGAATTCCTCCGCCAACGACTGTCGCTGGAGATTCAGCGAGGCAACGCCGCCTCCGTTCTTGGAACAATGGAAGGAGCGGCAGCGTTAAATGAAATTTTGCTTTTATGAGTGCAGTTACTTATTTTTTTAAGAATGTACTTCAGTGTATTTGACCAATAAAAAACTTCATTGTTAGCGGATCCAAGCCGCAAACGGGCATGCTTTCCTCTATTACGTAGACAGCATCAGGATATACGAGCGTACCCAAGCGTACCAAAGGGTGCCTAATAAAACACGCCGGTCTGTCGTAACTTCGAACTTACCGTCACAATCCAGACATATCATACTATTTAATTAATATATTTATGTGATACAATCACCGCAGCTATAGAGCTTAAACTACCCAAGGCCCCGTCACCGGTTGTAAATTTCAGGCAAATTTTGTGTTCTGTAGTAGGCCAAAAAACATTGGAGTAAACGTAAAACTATTTTCATCTGCCATGGTCGATTGGCGTAATCAGAACAATATTAAGTTATAAGTAAGCTTTACCAAGGTATATAAGAGATAATATCTCTGGAATTGAATGAGGTTAAAATCTGCTCGATAAAAATCCAGTACTTTTCAGCTTGTTTTCGGCAAAGGTATCAAGTTGTAATTAAGAGGTGAAACTTCAGGCACGACCTACTGCCTCAACCGCTTGGAATTTCTCAAAACGGATTGCAAATTCTCTTGTCAGTTTTTTATGCTCTCCATGCTCGTTATCGATTTGATAAGAAATTATGGTCTTTGCAGAACTCGAATTATGAATATGAGTGAGCCTTGTACATGTACTTATAAGTCGTAGTAGCAGTCGAAGTGAGTGCGGTTGTAGGGGGCAAACAGTTTGTCGCTAACGCGCTGCTTGCCTGGCATCTATGTATTCATGCCCGATTCAAACCACATTTCTACTACTTTACTCGACCCAGATGTTTTTTAGAATTTCAAAAAACAAAATGCAGATTCAGAATCAGAATCAGCGTAAAATGTTACTATGGCCTTCTGCCTGTAAAAAGTTTGTAGCCTTTATGAATCGTACGAAAATCACTGCCACAAGTTTTCAACTTGATGGCGGTTTTGGCCATTGTATTTCTTTAATCTTTCGAGAAATGTTAATGAGGTGTTGATGGCAAAAAAGGAATGAATTTTTCCACAATGTGGTTCAATAACTGAAAATTTTTATACACTTTCGTTCACACTGGTCACCGTTTCTGGAGATAATACAGTGTCAGGTATTTTGTTCTGTAGAAATGGATCGCTACCTATTATTTTAAGTTTGTGCTGACATCTTTCAAAATCACGTGTCAGTCATTATAGATATAAATATTCACAAATTAAGCGCCGCTGAAACGGGTTGGTTGTGCCGAGATAAATCGTATTGCTCGTGTTTGTAATGCTTGAAAAATTACTGAGAAAGCCAAACCAGGAAGCTGGTACCGATCTGATTCTTCCGATAAAAGTTAGTGTGAATTGAAAGGAAAAATATCAGTTGTACTACCTCCTGAAACGACGAACAACGATTACCATATGCATGCACCCCAAATAAAAATTTTTAACGAGTATACTGACCTCGTACAGGTGCTCAGTAACGTCATAAATCTTGATGCGGTGCATTTCCTATGAGCTACAGCGCAGTGTGGCATTTGCCTTTAAATTTCATTCTGACCATGCCCATGGACCATTGCCGAAGAAAATAATTTTATTCAAAGTCCTTTCTTTTCCTGTGAAATATGAAAGTTTTTTGAATTTATGTCCGGTGACGGGGCCGTAGTAGGTCTACAGTCTTTTAAAATCAAACCAGCAATAAGTCATTCAATTGAAAGCCACTTTTTAAGGTTGCTAACCTTTTATTGCCGAATATACGTAGGAGGCATTTAATAGAATCTTTAAACAAAGCAACATTTTTAGAGGGTTATCAAGGCATCTTGAGTTACCTGAGATGGAAAAAACGGTAGCCAGACTGAACTTAGCTAGAACAAACGAAATTTTGGAACTGCGTGTCTCCGAGTTGCGGCATCTAAATATCGGTCAACTTAAAGCTTGAGCTTGTGTGTGCATTTTTAACAGTAGTATTTATGTAATTTGCCGAAATATTGTGGTGATATCTTATTACGTTTATTGTGTCAATGAAAAGCTTTTCTAAAAGGCCGATCTTCTCTGCTTTCCTAAAACGTTCTTGGGTTTTATCTTAAACCACACACACCCTTCTCACGATTAAAATGCGCAGGATGCAGCCATAACTAGTACCGTGTGATTCAGAATCCGGCAACACTGAAGTTTTGGTAAGCTTTACGTTTCGAAAATTGGAAAACGGTTACCTAATATTGTCGAGAGCGGTAACATTTAAAATGAAAATAAGGAAATTGCTTCGTCACGAAATTTTTCCAGCCTTAAAGAATGCCATTTTTAAATAACGAAATGCAATCGTGTGCCACGGGCAATCCGGAGGCAGAGCGGTTGCTAGAATATAAATATATAATATAATATATTGGTGTGTATCCGAAGCGACGATAGACCGGCATGATTAATTAGGTGCGCTTTTGTGTATCCTGGTCCATTGTA